TACTCTATGGGAACTTGTTCCTTTGCAAAAGTTCCAATGGATTTTGAACACAATATCTTCTCAGACCTATCCGATGTTGCTATAGATGAGAAGAAGTATAGATGAATGATTGGATTGCTACTCTACCTCACTGTAAGTTATCCCGACATCATGTTCTCAACTTGTCTGTGTGATAGATTCTAGGTTAATCCAAAGATTTCTCATCTTTTGGCTGTCAAGAAAATCTTCCAATATCTTAAAGAAACAAAGAACCTTGGAATTTGGTATCCTACAAATGAAAGTTTCCTTCTTCAAGCCTATTCCCACTCAAACTATAGAGGAGTTCAACTTTATAGAAAAAGTACATCTGGTGGTTTCCATATTTGGGTGCAAGATTGGTTATCTGGTCATCCAAGAAACATAACTGCATTGGTCTTTGAATAGCCGAAGCAAAATACATAGCTACCACAAGCTGCACCTCACAAGTTCTATAGTTGAAATATCAACTTTTGGACTATGGTTATTGTTTTTCAACAAATTTGTATCTGCATTTACTCTCAAAGTGCAATTTCGATCTCTCACAATCCAATTCAGCACTCCATGACCAAGCACATTGATATTCGGTACCACTTTATTAAATATAATGTTCTAAAAGTTAACATTAAGTTCATTTTGTTCCACCTGACGATGAAATTGTGGATGTATTTATTAAGGCATTAGACGAAACCAAATTCAATGGTTTTCTAAACAAAATAGGAATGATGATGCCTAATCCTCAATTCTTTCAAGAAGTCTATACTCTCTACGAAATTATTTCTTCACAGAAAATAAAGGATCATTATGTGTCTTTTTGTCTAACCTTTTCTTCTAGTCTTCAGATTTTTAAAATACTACCTTACTTGAAGATTCATCCGATATAGTCACATCGGATACCTTGAACATTTTTCCTCGAAACGGTTTCCTTGAAGTACTCATTGGAATTCATATCCGATATGGTAATGTGATTTTACCACTTATCTCTTTCTGAGCTCTACTCCTTCAGTTCTCGGATTTTCGTATCTCTTGTTCAAAAACTTGTCCTTTAAAATCTTCATGCAATTGCTACCTTTAATATTCGTTTTGAGATTGTGCCATATCCAAATCTATATCATGTACCAACAAGGATTTTCATTTCTTTCCGAAGCATCTTATGACATTCCATCTCAGAATCTGATTGTTCTAAGATTCTTAACAATAAATGAATTTTAAGGTTATCATTAAGTTCTGACTCTGAAATGTTTCTTTCATGACTATCTTAACGGTAATTTCTTTTATGATTATCCTTTTAATTCGAAATTAACAAAATTTTAGCACACTTTTCAATAAAAGTATTGAGTGTTCTAAACTGAATCGACGGTTTTCTAGATTTAAACAAACAAACAAACATCTAATCCTTTGGATAATAATTGTCACATAGGAAGCCTTTTTAAGTTGTTCATTAAATGCAACCCTTTTTGGTTTTCGGGTGTCATCATTCAACTCTTCGACCCGACCTAAAAATTCCAACATATATAAGGATTTTGAATCGTAATTGTTCCCACTTTTCACTTTCGCTATAGTCTTCTTAGAGCCTTTCTTTTGTACTCTATTCTTCAAGCTATATCTCACTTCCTGCAATGGCTTCTAAATCATCGGCTGTGGCTCCCAAATCATTGAAACCTTCAACCAAGAAGAAATATTCCAAAGGGTCTGCTTCATCTTCATCTCCTATCATCCCATCAACATTGCTCTCACAAAAATACCTAACCATAATTTCCCTCTTAGACTTCTTCACAAAGCCTTCAAAAGAGTGAAGATTGAATATGGTGTTCTTGAAGTAATGATCACTAACGATAGGATCGAACCGGTTCACAAGAATTTTTTTCTCAAAGTAATTGGCATTGCAGAAAACCCCAAAGGTTTTCCAGTTGTGGCACTATGATCTGAAGAATTTCAGTCATTCTTGATTTAAATCCCCTACAATGGTAAGTTTAAGGCTAAGGAGTTCAATAAATCAACTTGTGGTGGTATAGACACCATGAGAAAGGACTGGATTCATGTGGTATACAACATCTTCACCAGAAAAGCCAATGCCGTTGATCTACCAGAAGTCCTGTGGCAAGACTTCAAGAATTTTGTTGTCAAAAGGAAACCAAATGAGATTCCGAGTCCGAGATTCTGGGCTCTAAATTTGCAACAGCTGTGCTCCGAGAGACATGAAGCCATTCCACTCATCTCCAACATCTGAGAGGTATATTGTTCTTTCAAGTCTATAAAAACTTATAGGTTGCCTAGTCAAACTACCTTTGGACCTATAAGACGTGTACCTGAGCACATGTTGTGCACTATTGTGACATCCCCAAAATCACGACCAGAAAAGACCGATTTTGTTTATGCTTTATGAAAATCAGAGTACTTCATTTTATAAAAAGGTTGCGGAATTTGTTCCCAGAAAAATACGATAAATACGTTATTAAAACATTTTCAAAGAAACGTATTTTTATTCATCTTAAAACGTTTGGGATGTCATCGTTAATACAGAAACATAAGCATAAACAGAACTTACATTTATTTACACTAGTGATCTACATCTCTTTAAATCTCTCAGTGTAAAGTGACTTCGTATCAACACCTGTGATATAAATAAACTGAGTGGGTCAGGTTGGGAAACCTGGTGAGCACATAGGGTTTTTAACCCACAATAATATAATTATTATTTTTAAACATTAAACAATCAACCCAATTACCCATTCCCGTTATCCTCACATTACGTCCCTAAAACATCTAACACAAGGGACCTAGTCAAAGGACTATCATTGGGATGGAGTATACCTGGTGAGAACACAGTTCACACAGTTCGAATAAACACACAGTTCGAACAAACACACAGTTCGATTAAACACACAGTTCGAATAAACACCTACAGGTTGCGAGCCTGCTAGTGTTCCACTGGGCTGTCTAGAATAGTCCGTGGTCGTCATCTATACTCCGCTAGATGACTAGATCATCAAGAACATATATAACGAGGCATCTCATTATTTCATTTTATCACACAGCAACTAATACATCTACCCATGTTTTACCCAACACATTTTGTAGATATAAAATACATATACAGTTTAAATCATTGAAAACATGTATAAAACGTTCATCCAGCATAGATAGCAAGTATACAGATAATATACACACACAACACGTAATTTATATAAAATACTTCATATCTATGTGTAAGCTGAAAGTAACTATGCACTCACCTGAGTAGGTGGTGACTCAGCACTCAGACAGCGCTTCGATACTCTCAAAACGATATTCCTTCGATAAAACAGCGGGTTTTTTTCGCAAAACCGGGCTTCGCTGGAGCAGCGTTCCCGAGCCGAAAGGCTCTTTTCTCGGAGCCGTCGGGCGCTCCGGGGCTTCCGCCTCGTGCTAGGGAGTTACCCTAGGCTTTAGGGGGGTTAAGGAGGCTTAGAGAGAGAGTTTAGAGAGAGAAAGAAGGTTTGGGAGGTGTGAGAATGAATGGAACCCGGCACCTCTATATATAGGGGAGAAATATGATGGACTCGTCGAGTCTGAGTCATGACTCGTCGATTTGGTCCATGTGGTGGCCTTCTGGTGGTGCCACGTGTCCAATTTTGGTGGTGCCACGTCACCCCCTATCGCGTATCAGCCTTCAAACTTAGAAAAATCATAACTTTTGCATACGAGCTCCGTTTTCGACGTTCTTTATATCCACGCGTAGGTAAAATCAAGATCTACAACTTTCGTTTAGACTCTGTCGGCTAATTCTCGACCGATCTCAAATTTAATAGTAGGAGGCGTTTAGACTGTTAAATGACCGCGAAGAGTTCATAACTCCTTCGTACGGACTCCGTTTTCGTCTGTCTTTTTACCGTTGAGTTCCTATTAATGAGACCTTCAACTCTCATTTAGGTCGTGTAAGCCAAAAACCTCTCGAACTAAAATTCGAGTTTCGGGCCGTGCACTACTAAGCCGAATCTTAGAAAAATCATAACTTCTTCATACGAAGTCAGATTTGGGCGTTCTTTTTATCGATGTTCTTAGTTTAACATATTCTACAACTTTTGTTTAGATTTATAAGGCTAAAAAGTCTTCTATCGTAAATTCACTATTTACGTCTCCCTGTGTCGTGCCGGTTTTGCCGTAAAACTTCGGCAGACCATAACTTCTTCGTTATAACTCAGATTTCGGCGTTCTTTATATGTACGGAAACCTTGTGACATATTCTACAACTTGGTTAAGATCGTTTATTCTAAATAATCTTTTGTCGAAAAGTCATTTTCGACCCCTATTGCCTCTAAATTGACTAGCCCGGATCTACGGGCGTTACAACTATTCCTTCCGACTCACCACATCTTAAATATCATATTGAGATCTCGGTTGTGTTAAACCCAACACAATCTGCACGGGTCTCGTATGATACAACCTCGGAATAGAATATAATAGCAACCTCAGAAGGTATATTGAAACAGACTGCCAAGCAAAAGGCATCCTCTACTAAAGTCAAAGCGAGAAAGAGAACGAAAGCTAGTGAATCCTCTCAAAAGGATTCACAAATCAACATTCAACATAAGTTCGGGTCTCAACTTACCCCACCCAACCACTCTTCTAAAGTACCCTTCGGAGTCTCAAAATCACAAACTACGCATACAAAGATATGAGGAATCTACATATAATCTACCCCTATATTCTAAAAAAGGTTGTGTCGGTATTAAGCAAAGTCCCTTGGAGCCCCCTGGGATACACTCACGAGTCAATTTGAACTTTCCTTTTTGTTCTACACAAGCAAAATGAGTGACCCCTGTCACTGATTCCATGCTCTCTAAAACGGGAGTAGTCCCCCCTATTTTGAATTGAAAGCGATAAATGGTTTGATATTTGGTTAAAGTAGAGGACGGTGGAGTATTTTTGACAAGGATTGGTCAGATTTTGTTGATAGGGCTCATACACTGCATCCGGAGCTACCAAAAGAACATGTAAAATACATGCTCATCTTGATGAACCAAAGAGCAATCAGTAGTTGCATCCCCTTTGTGTATCAATCAAATGAAGGAATTCATCAAGAGCTTCAACCTTCCATCGCTGCAGTCAAGGCGATGCAGAGTTCAGAAGTTCATGTTCCTGTTGATAATATGAATGATCCTCTGCAAGACAACGTTGTTGCTATAAGAGATGATCATGAGCCAACCAATATGTCATGTGATCCTCCTTCAAATATTGTAAGTGTTGTAGATATTCCTTCCCCAGATGTTGATGATGAAGCCTTGGAAGAAATCATGTTTGAAGATGACAACACAACTGTTGGTGTTCTTCCAATTCGCACCTCGCTCAACATTTTTCAGAATCCTTCCTCCTCAAAAGCTTATTTCCATTTTGAACTCTTTTCATACTTGAAAGCTTCATATGAAAATGTTGAACCTGAGAAAAATGACTTTGATCATCCTCCTCCAGAAAACACATCCAAAGGACATCAAGATTCTCCTCCTCAAGAAGTTACACATGATGATGACAAGAGTAAAGAAGATGTTGATCACGTTTCTGAAAGTTCTACTTCGAACACAGGATCCTTCGATGAAAATATTATGGATATGCTTTGCTTGATGGAACTTAAAGATAATGTTCCTACAGCAAACTCCAAGGTTGACAAGGTCATTCAGCAAGTAGTAGGCCTTGAGTCAAAACATTACCTGGTAGTCAAATCTCTGTCCGAGAGAAAGGATGTCACTCCATCCTAACTTGGGCGTGCTAATCAGTTGGACCAACTTTTCTCACATCGCCTAAGTTGTACTCTTGAAGATGCCGAAGCACGGTACAAGGACAACATGGATCATCACATCACTACCATCAACATGATACTCAATGTTCATGATGATATGCTCTTTCTATAAATACCTTGATCAAACAAACTCACATTCGTGATGAGAAATAGATTCAGAGGTTGGAGAGAGAGATTTATCACAAAGATGCCATGAATATGGTTATGCAAGAAGTACTTATCAAGGTCATCAGTGCAACTCAACATCATCTGGATGTTCCGCACTACAAGTTTGATGAAATGCTTCTCATTATTAATGAAACCTTTGCTCACCTTAAAGCCCAAGATCCAACTACCGAAGCTTATGATTCTCTTTCCAAGCAAATCAATAAAAACTTTCAACGAGTATTTGACTACTTAAGCGAGCTCAATTCCTCTCCACTGATTGCAACAGAGGCAGGGTCGTCCCATTCAAGAAGGGGAGAACAGTGTGTGGGAGAACAACATAGACAACAACAGACAATCCAATCAAGATCAATATTGGAATTTTTTCTTCGAGATGATGATTATGACAAATGAGTTGTGGAAGTAAATACTTCTGAAGCTGATGATAATGAAGATGATTTTATGGATGATGTAATTCTTGGACTACAAGCTATCAAGGAACCACCGACCAAAGTCCTTTCGGAAGTAGAGAATATGAAATGGTCCTCAGTTCCTTGGCCATATTCCATGTACGAAGCATTCAAAATGATCCGAGACATGGAAAAGGTCAAAACGAAGTTGGCGATCGATGCCTTCGGGTTACTCAACCAATGCCTTCTCTGATTCCTACTTCGATGATTGACCAAATTGACGTTGGACCTCCTATGAAAAAACCAGTTGAGATCCCTGATGATTCTTTGCTTCTTCCTCCATTTGAGCTATTCATTACTCAATCTGGCTAACAAATCATCTCCTCCATCTCATCTCAAGTTGATCAATCAAGGGAAAAAGGCAAACAAATAGCCACTGGTTCGGACATCCCAATGAATTTGTTCAAAATGTACGAGGGTTGGTTAAAAGAACTACTACAACTAGCACTGGAAGAAAGCATTCAAATTCAAGCACTTAAAGACAATCCAAATCCAATGCTAAGCATTTTTCCTCTCTTCCAAGAAGGGATTCTTCCCACACAAGATGTTGATCAATTTGAGCTACCAATCTCTCCATACGGATGCTATTACATCAAGTTCGCACCCCTGTATCCATCTGATGATCCTCAAGTTGTTATCTGAACTGAGCGTGAGAGATGAAAAACCTTTTATTCTACCAATGCACAAGCCCAAAAGGATGTGTGGTCCCGGAAGAGAATTACCTAGATAGTTGGTGATGGTGGAAAGGTCCAAGGCAAGTTCGATCTTGACTGTCTTCTGTACAAAATTTTCCCACAATGAATCCAAAGGACATTCTCATTATAGTTTCTCATCTCCGAGATCGCCAAACAAACAAATCAAGTATTGGAGCTTATAACTTCTTTATCAGCTTTCTAAAGGACTACATCACCGAATTCTATAGATCCGATGTGGATTTTTCTCATCTTTTCAGAACGGAAAACTTTTTGGTCAAGATCACTACCGAATTACTTGAAGCCTGGATCTTTGCAGAAGGACCAATTGAAGAACCAGAACTTGGTTATCTCTACCTAAAAAATAAGACCAATTAAAATGAATTTTTTAGAGTGCTTGACAAACATCTTATTCCTAGCAATATTCTTTAAAAGTTCATTTCAAATGCTGCCAAGAGTGATTCTTCGTAGCATATCAAAAGGAAATTTATTGAGCATCTCCAATGGTACATCGAATTCTGAAGTTAGCTCCAAACCGCTTACTTGTTTGTGTTTGATGAAGCTAAGTGATAAATTGGATGATTGCTAAGGTCACTTAGGGTAGATTTTTTGAACATGAAAAGTGTTCCTTAAGCAATCCGAAGTGGATCATTTCCGATGTGATGAATTCTGAAGTACAAACTATTCCGAAGTAGAACATCAATTTGAGATGCATCTTAGAGTTAAAGTAAGTTTGAGTCTGTAATGTGCATTAATTTCTACAAGTACTATTTTTTTTGTTCCCATTGTCCCATTGTATCGTGCGTGAGACAAGATTAATAGCAACGACTGCGTCAGTCTATTGATCTTCAGATGTCTTACAATCAACACTTCCTTTTTCTTCATTTGTCTTTTATTTACTCCTAGTATATTTAAGGAGTAGTCCCGTATGTATCAAATGTGGGACAAGAACCATTTTCACATCAATCAAGAACTATTTAATCAGTCATTATCTCAAACATTCTTCTTGTTCTTATGTTATTTTACATCGTTCACACTTAATCTCTGATAATTTTTGAGTACTTTGTTGATTGTATTAATTCCGAGGCTAGACCAGTTTATCAAACTAGATTCGATCGTTATTATTACCATACATTAGTATTAAGTTAACTTAAGGTTTGGATTCCCAAACCTTGTCTGTGCACCCTTATTTATTTAACGCTCACAAGTTATAAGGATTTTTTTTCTTTATTTAGTTGCTCCTGAAGATTATGAACAACTAGGTGATCCATATGTTTTTGCTCTAAGGCAAGTTGCTTTCGAGTCTCTTCAAAAATTTCTACTTATTTTAAGGTCTTCAATTAATGAACATCTTCTTCTTTTTACAATCTTCTTTCCCAGATCATGAGGAGTTGTTTTGATAAGAGAATTTAGATAAGACTTGGGAGGAGACTTCTTCTCTAGCTTGTTTGTCTTTATCACTGCTAAATATATTCTTAATTATTGCTATTTATGGAATTTTCTTTTCATATTGAGTGGATTCAAGATTCCTATGAGTAGTATCCTTTAGAGGTGACTTATGAGGCGACTTAGGAGGTGACATAAGAGGAGAGTTATGTGTTTCTTCAACAGTTTCTTATATTCTTTCTCCATCTTTCATGAATGAGGGCCCATATTCATTCATGAACCCTTTCTTCAAATCATCAAATTTCATGAAAACTTTGAGAAGTAACTAATTCATAGACTTGGAAAGAGATTCCACTCGTATGTTTATTTCATCAGTCTTAAGAAACTCACTGACCTTCTTTATGTACTCTCATATCTTCTAATTCAATTCCCTTGGACATTTTGTCATTTGCAAAAATTTATTGGAAAGTTTGGTGTAGACACTTGACATGAAAAGCATATTGTTGCGATAGTGTAGCAGGGCCTGTTGGAGGTCGTCAAATTAATCTCCATTTTTCTCTAGCTCAACAGTAAATAAGCCAAAGGCTCCGTTGTTATACACCTTGTGATCAACAAGTTCCTTGGAGATTTGTGCAATTGATTTTGAAATGGAGGTTTCAAGTTTTTGGAACTCTTTAGACGATGGTCATCAACAGAGGCAGAGGCAACAAAGACCTTCGAAAGAGTTTTTTTTCGAGGTCCTCGAAGTTAATTGGTTTGTACTTAGGCGGGGAAGACTTAGGTATACGTTGAAGAATATGATTTAACTTGGCTTCCAAAAGTTTTACACTATTAGATGTGTGACATCCCGATGATAAGGTATTTCTAATTTTAACCCTAAGTATGAAGATTATTGTAACATCCATAAAAATTAATAAAATTTAAACTTTTCAAAACAACCATTTTTCTAAAGAAGCATTTACAAAAACCATTGTACCCAAAACATTATTTATAAATCAGAATTGCTTTCAACATAGTTTTCAAAACATTCACATTATCAGAGTTTCCCAAAAATCATAAATCCAACATGCAAGGATGTGTACGGTCACCCCTTCACCTTGACACGATCCACTGAATACCTTAAACCTTAAACCAAAATTATAAGCATGAATCTTAGTGAGTTCCCCCAAAATACCAATCACATGACTGACCACATATATAAAATAATGGCTTGCAATGGGTCGACAAATAAAAGACTGGATTACCCCTGAGCCCATAATATGAGTCTGGCTTTTCTATCGGGCCCACAACCCACATCTGGCTTGCTCCTGACTTATGTCTAGCTTACTCCTTGTATTGATCATTCATCGAACTAAAATATTAATGTTCAACCCTTAGTACGAGGCTGGCATACCGACCGGTCCTCATCTCATATCTGGAATGATATTGAGCCCTCAGTATGAGTCTGGCATCCCCCACCTGACCCTCAGCTCATATTTGGAGTGTTACTGAGCCCTCAGTATGAATGCGGCATGCCACACCCAACCCTCAACTCATATATGGAATGCTTTGGGGTTTGTTGGCTACAAAATAAAGCAGTACAACCTCAACCCAACCCAACATGTCAACATATAATAGACAACAAACATATATAGATAATCATGCAACCAGAAACATAGGTAGTCATACAAATCTACCAGGCTATAATATGGGCAACTAACATATCATGCATATCTATTCTATACACATCATATCAACAAGAAGTAGGATATCAGCCAATGGGCCAGCCTTGGTGCGTTCGACCCGAAAGTACAGTGAGGAAAACTCACCTCGCAATGTCGAATCGTACTGAAAACTTCCAATTGATGGTTCACAAAAATCCTGAACTATCATAACAAAATAAACATATAATTAACAATTGGATTACCATCCTTGACTAATGATCCATACTTAGGGTAAATTTCCATTGTACCCTTTCCTAATTGGGCCAAGACCTAAGCCTAATTCTTGATCCAAAAGGCCCAAATTACCTCAAGGCCCATAATTGATCCAATTTTCCAAATTGGTCCCAAACTCCTTATTGAGCCTTATTCTAAGTTCCAATTCTCTAATTATCACAAAACACACCTATTAAAATAGTCCATTAGGAGCCCAAGAATTTAAGCCCAAAAGATGACCCAAAACACGAAGTCCAAAAGCAAAAACCCAATAGATGATGTACGTTGCGCGTACCCCGAAGGTATATAGGGCCTATGCGAGTCTCGCATTAACCGCATACATGGTCACTG